CCAAGTTTGGGGACCCAAACTGATTTAAACAGATACTGTCTTTCTTTAAAAAGAAGGGAAAGTATCCAAACACTTTTGAAATAACTTTCTCTTCCTCCTTTTTTCCTGCAGCGCCTCGGCCGGCTCCTGGCTCCTGCCTCCAAGGGAGGGAGGGGACGGGAAGGCCCTTTTCTACCCTCCCCTTCTCCCGCAGCGCTGGAATTCTCCCCGCGGCCTCCTTTCCCCTGCAGCCCGGCACCCCCGCCTGCCTCCCGCCTGCGAGCAGCCTTCCTCCCGCCCTGGAAAGAAGAATTACCGCAATAATAAAAGAAAATGCAACATACTCTAGTGTCGCTGCGGCTGCCTTTCGGTGGGAAGTGGGATCGAGGGTGGGGGGGTTTGGGGGTGGGGGGGCTGAGGGAGGTTTTAACGTCTGAGAATTCCACCAAATCTCTTCATGGACCATTTTGAAAATTTCCCACTGCTGCGAGTCCATCCGGTATCTTGTTCGAAAGAGAAAGGATGGTTGTGTGGATGACTCGGAAGCGTTGAAGGGGGATTTGGGGGTACAGACCCCCTTCCCCGTTTTGTGGTTACCCCTCTTTCTGCTCCTTTATGTTCCAGTGGCTGAAGAGAACCAGCCAAAGACCCTCCTTTCGCCAAGAGGCTTCATCCTGGAAGCCATGATTGCTGGTCTCCCACCTTCCTCTTCCTCATTTTCCTTCCCTGCCTTCCTTTCCCTTCCGTGGAATAAATAGATTACAACTTCCCCTCTTTTTTAAGCCATGGTGTTTTTTTGGGGGGGTGGGGTGAACAGCTTCTGCAGGTCCTTCCGACTGCCCGAGGCTGCCTGGACTGTTCTCTGGCTTGTTTTTGCTGTTGTAGCTCCAGGAAGCCCCCACAGCACATGGTGTTTACACAAGCCGCCCCCCCAGCAAGGGTTTTCGGCTTTCGTGGCCTGGGAACCGCAGAATGGACCTTCAAACTGACCCAGCCTTGCTGCTGTCGCTCTACTTCTTGCCAAGCAGGATCGAAACACAGGCAGTGCCCACCAGCAAAATTCCCCCCACCCCCAAAAGGCGGGCTTGGCATCAGGGTGGTGAGGGGCTACCAAGGCATGGGTGTCCGTGGGCAGGCAGCCCTTCCGGAGGCTCCGTCCGTCCTCCTCTGTGCTGGGTTGAATGAGGCAGCCCTGCACTTGGAGCCAGAGAGGGAGGGGCCGTTCAACTTTGACACAGCCTGGATGATGGGAGGGGCAGGCTCCCCCTCCCCCACCTTCCAGCAAAGGGGGGGGGCGTCTTCTTGGTGGGCCTGCAGGCTAACACTAGAAGGGCTGCCCCTTCTCTTCCCCCCCCCCCGCCCCCGCTTTCCGCTTGCATAAGGCCAGGGAGGGGAGGAAACAGAGGCCGGCCTCCAGCATAGGTGGCCCCTTGACCGGCTGCTGCGCTGGCCAGTATATATATATAGCCGTCCGACGTGGTTTCTGGCTGACCATTCCTGGGGGAGCCTTTGCAGAGACGCCACACCGGGTAAAGCCCGGACACCCCAGTTTCTCGGCATGCGGGCGCAGTTCTCTGCCGCTTTGGCTCTCCTTTGCCTGCTCCAGGCAAAGGCCGAAATGCCCGTCCAGGCTGACTTCCAGCTAGATCAGGTAAGGGGGGTGCCGACGTGGCCCCCTTCGGCCCCCTGACCCGGGCACCAACCTCTCGGTGGGCTCCGCAGCTGAGCCAGCGGGTGGAAAGGCTCAGAGTCCCTTGGCAGCGTGTGTGTGTGCATGTGTGTGCGTGTGTGTGTAACCCTTCTCCCCCTTTCCCAAGTTCACGGGCACCTGGTTCAGCATCGGCCTGGCCTCCAACACCCGCTGGTTTAAAGAGAACAAACAGGTCATGAAGATGTGCACCACCGTGGTCACGCCCACGGAAGAGGGGCACCTGAGCATCACCTCCACGTACCCCAAGTAAGGGGGCTCGGCTGCCAGGCTCTGCTGGTTACAGGGGAAGGGCTCTGCTCTTCTGGAGGGGGATAGTGGTGGAACTCGGGACCAGAGCGGTGAGGCTGCCTCCTTGCTTCTCACCGCTCTCTCTCTCTCTCTCCACTGCCAGGCAGGACCGTTGCGAGATAAAGCGGATAGTTTTCCTCCGGACAGACGACCCTGGCCGCTTCAACTACACCAGCGCTTGTATGTGGCAGCCTCTCTCCCGCCCCCTGAAGACCCCAGCCCTCTCCCTGCTCAGCTCTCTCTGGGAACAGTCTGGTTTGCCAGCGGGAGGAAACTGGCTCGCGGGCCCCCTCGCCCCCCAACTTTTAGCATTTCCCGCCCTCCCCTCTTTACTCTCCTGCCCCCAGGAGGGGGGAAGAAGGCTGGAGGAGCAGAAGGATAACAAGAGAGCCCCGTTATTAGACAAGCCTTCTTGCCTGCTGGGCTGCCGGGAAGAGCAGGAGATAATCAGAGTTGGAAGGGACCTTGTAGGTCATTTAGTCCAACCCCCCTCCTCAACCCTTTCCCTCCTCCCCATGGGCTCTGGCTAGTGGCCTTCTCCCCTCCTCCGCTCCTTCCAGCATCAGGAACCAAACACAACCTCCGGGTGCTGGAAACCAACTACGACGAGTATGCGCTTCTGGGGAACATCATCACCAAAGGGGCCGACACCTTCACCATGGTCACCCTGTACGGTAGGGGCAGCGGCTTCTCCCCAGCCCTTCGGCAGGCGGGCTGTGCCAGGGAAGGCAGCTGCGGGGCAGTGCCAGGGTCCCTCACCCACTCTGCTTTCTGGTGCCAGGGAGGCAGAAGCAGCTGCGCCCGGAGCTGCTGGAGAAGTTCACCCAGACGGCCTTGAGCCACGGCCTTGCCCAGGAAGACATCCTCATCCTGCCCCAGACTGGTGAGGACGTGTGGCGGGCAGGCTTGGCCAGGATCGGGCTGGTGGCGGAGGGCTCTTTTCTGACCCCCTTTCCTGCCTTCCTTCTGATCAGAGCTCTGCATGGGCTGAATTCTCAAGGCTCTTTGCTCCGGCTTTCACTCTCCAGGAAGTATCCAAGAAGGTAAATTTTTGTGTCACTTTTTAAACTTTGTTGTTGCTGTTGTTACTTCTCTTCTTTGCCCCCTTTACATTAGTTGACATTTTAATGTTTCTTTTGAATATTTAATACATGGTATCTATCTAT